AGGTGCAGATTTCAGCCTAAAGTTTTAAATTTCCTTTGGGTTTAACATCTTGCAGAAAAGGCCTGTACACTTGAAAGTTTTAAAATAAAGCCCTTGTTTCCTTTAAGCTAAAGCTGGCATTGCCTCCAGCGAGCAAATTCAACGGCAGGAAGCCACTTTGATTGACAAAGATATTTGGAAACAGACTTACAATAATAATTAATACCCAGAGGAAATTCTAAGCAACTTTGACGCTTGGTGGACTTCCATTTTTTTCCCTGTTGATCTATCCATGTTCAAAGACAGCTGCATCTGAAAGCCACAGCTGTAGATAATGGGCCATTTAGATGGCAGCAGCGGTATCTGGCCTAGCTGGGTAGCAGTTAACTGTGGTAGCAACTAGGATGAAATACCTACATGCAAGACACTCCTTTTTTTGCAGTGACAGCAACTGAACTGAGAGCAGATTAAAAGTACTCAAGCTGGAGACTTACTCACATCTAAGTTCAGAGACCATTTTCCTGTTAAGTCTTGCTAACAGCAAAGGGTATAGATGTACATTGCTTTGAGTAAGCAAGTCAGCAAGATGCAAACCTTTCTCAATAGAACGGATCACAAAAACAAGTAGTTTTTCAAGTTTCCAACACAAGCTGGAGTCTACAACGTACGGATTGCTTAGCCTCTTCTGTTGTGCTCTGAATAGTAAATTGCTATCTAAATAGAAATATATGCTCTTGTACAATTAAATATTAAATGGAATATAAACTAGTAAGATTACCAAAAGTGTTTTATTGCCAAAACTAAATACCTTACGTATTCTTGAGTATTAACAAAAGAAATAAAGCAGCATACCTGATGTATTATTTGTGCTACAGGAAGTTGTTCTGCATATTTTAATGCCTCCGTTGCTACTTCATCCACAGCATGGCTGGAAAAAAGAGAGATTTTAATCAGACACTGCAAAAATTAGGAAAAGATAAAACCCAATGGCAACTCGCTTGCTTTCAGGCATACACACCCAAGTCCCCAATCTATCTCAAATTGCACAGCTATTATTTTTAAATGCATTACATATTCGAATGCCATCCACTTCTTTTCAGCCTACCTCTCTCCGTTTTTTGGTCACGGTTTAAATTCTTCATAGCTATAATACTAGCTTTAAGTCTTTCTGTTCCACATAAAAATTTGCAAAGGTCAGGTCTCCTGAATAGCCCAGAGACTTGGGGAGAGCTAATGAGAGAAATGGCACAGGCACATGTTTCCATATTTCATTTGATTCCCATCCCACCCCCTGGCAATTGAAATGCAAGGAGTTGCATTCTGCACTCTAACATTCAACAAACTTGTGAATGAGATAATTTATAGAAATTGATTGTGTATCCCCCAAACTGATTTTCTATGTTGGAAGGCTGTTAGAAAATGTTCTAGATAAGAACAGAGGTGTTTTAGGATGCACACCAGTTGAGGAAGGCAGAGGACATAGGGCAATAATACTTGGCTGGTAAACCCAGCCAGGAGGAATCAATTTTCAGCAGAAAACTGGTGCAGACCCAAATCTGATCGGAAGCATTTTCCAGATAGGCATCTCATAACTCTACCTTTTCTCCAAAATAAAAGCTTGTTTAAACATGTGACTAACACCACATCTTGTTTGACTATCTTTTAGCTACTGAACTGTCTAAGTACCTGAAATTAAAAGTGGAAACCCCTCCAATTCTTCTCATTATTATTATTATTATTATTATTATTATTATTATGCCACCCATCTGACTGGGTTGTCCCAGCCATATTTCAGTCTTTTTTCTTCCTGTGCCAGGACTGTGGGCAAGAACCCTAAATTGTGGAAACATTTTGAAATTTGCAATCCTTTGGAGGGCAAGAAAATAGGTTTCCATGTAAAATATAAGTGCCAAGGCTTTGAGAGAGACAAGTTAGTTGGAGTGAAGAAAGACTAAGGCAAAGAAAATGAAAACCAGGAACAGCACACTTTGGACAAATTCTTTGTCCAGTCATTAACTAATCTTATTTCAGTGCCTTTGGGGTTTTATTTTTTCCTCGTATATAATTTGGGATTTGCCTACTACTCAGAAAAGAAACACCAGACCAGTCTCTCTTTAGGACGGTTATAGATTTTAAATGCAAGCACCAATCAGGACTTTGGAATTGCGGTAATCAGAGTAATGTTACTAACCACTGTGTGATTTCAAGGTAATAACTGCCATGATAATAGACATTCTTGCACTCTGATTGGCTACCAACTATTATTAGCCTACCAGGACAACAAGATCTGCATTTTGCATAGTTATTAAGAAACAACAGTAGAGTGATTATGTAAATCAAGTGCTCACAACCAGAGTATAGGGAATTTCCACAGCTGTGGGTGGGAGAAGAGGAATGAATGCACAAACATTCTGGATTATTCCATAAAATCAAAGCCATTTTATCAACATAATGAAGATATTTGAAAATAATTATAAAAATGTCTAGTGGTGTCTCAGTATATGAGAACCACAACCAGCCAGCAAGTCAGCTGCACAAATTAAGCTCTCCTGAGGTATATATAGAGGATACACACCAAAAAACTTTAAAAATATGCCCAACCCTCTTAAATATGTTGAATGTACACTTAAAATGACTGAGTCCTCAGTATGCCAAATTCAAAACATGCCTATGACTAACTTTCTATGGCCTTCTTATCATTGGGGGGGGGGATTCTTGAAAGATCAGGACAACCATTTCATGGGTTTAGCGATTCATTTTCTAAATGGCCCCCATGCTGTTCATCTAGGAAACTAGGAAATCAATATTACCCACTGCACACTTCAATAATGTTGCCTGCAACTGGGTGTATCTGTGTATCATTCAGACAGAAGGGCACCACATTCAAGATAAAACTTTGCTTTTTAGTGTGTGCAATAAGACTTATGTATACCTAGTCCCAGGAAGATCACTGGCAGATGTAGTATCAATTATCCAGCAACAATGGATACATATGTTCCTCTATTCAAACTCACATCTTTAAACACTGTGCTTAGGGAGAAAATACTAACTGGACTTTCAAATAACATTCCCATGATCTTCAAAACAGTTGCTCTACAAACTAGAAGAAATTCTGAAAATTGCACTTGGCTGCAGCTGCCCGGAACATGTAAAATTACTATAAACAAAAAACTAATGGGGAAAATATGCTTTTGCCTTTTTTCAATTTACTTTGAACAACTGGCAGCATTTGGGGTATAGCCAATATACCCCTCTCTATGTATTGTCATTCCTTTTTTTTCTGACGGCAATAAAATCTTTACTAAAAATTCTGTGTGAGTGTGCACACACACGCACATATCAGTTTCAAGACAAGCATTTTTATAGGGTGCTATAAAAATCAAAATGAAGCTTTTAATTAGGTTTTTTTTAAATAAAATGGCTATATATTCATTAGAAGTAACTATTTACATTAATGTCCTTGCTCTGCATTCCTGAAACCTAATCGGTCAATTTACTTTCAGGCTATTAACACACTTAGTTGCTTTAGAGATAAACAGAATGTATTCTAACATAGTGTCCCTAAAACAATATTAAAACGTCTATCATTTATTTATATAAAAAAAAACTGTATACAGCTGTTCATTAAAAACCAGTGATTTACACCAACCATATACAGATACAATCAAAACAAGGTAAGAATTTAAAATCAGAGATCAACTATTGTCTGTTACAGAAAGATGTTTTCTTAATTGCCTGCATAGATTTGGTGGCATGGAAAAGTTTGCACCAATTATTTAAAGGCTTAAAAAGAAGGCACCTGGCTGACAAGTCTCCTTATCACAAGCCCATGCAACTCTGATCTCCACTGATATTTTTCTTAAAGAACAAGTTCAGATGTACTTTCTAGTTGATGAGCCTTTTCAGTCAAATGAGCATCTGTTGCCTAAATGCCGCATGAAGAGTCAGTTAATCTTGAAAGAGACTCCACAACCAAAATTGCTCATACTGCTGTATTAAAACCCTCTGGAGGTGCATTTTAGCATAGCAAATGCTCACTAATAATCAAGAGACCTACAGAGAGTTTATGAAATCTGAGGACTCCCAGTGACTGAATTATGCCTCAGAACGCAGAACTATTCATTTGGGCAAGTACAGCTGGTTTAAATTATTTAGGAGCAACACCCCACAATATATCATTAAACTTTCCATATAGCATTTTGTATATTTAGTTTATTTACAACTTTCACAAAATATAGACTTAATGAAGTCTTAGCAGCAGCAGCTCTCCACAGTGTACTAATATTACAAGATCTTGCCTGAGGCCTGCTACATTCCCACTTGCCTCCACAATTATTTTGGCAAGGGACGCAATTTATTTTTAGACTAATATAAGCTGCTGCTGCTTTTTTAAAATATGCCCCCATACCCTACAGATGCCAGTCTGAGGGAAATGTCTTAATGTAAGCAATTTGTTCCTTTACATTTAAATACATTATCACTCACTACTGTAAATCAACATGGAGAAAAACATCTTATAGATAAAGCCTTTGACTGGTCTCGCCAAGAGCTGAGGGGCAGGTTTTAGGCAGGGATTTCAGAACAAGATAAACCCTGCTTCACCAGAGGGTTATGACTGGGAAATAGGCATTGTCCCATACCCTAAACACTTGGTTGAAATGTGAACTGTTAACTGATTAAATGCTCTTCAGTTAATTAACTTTCTTGATTTAAACCGATTAATGCTATGACAGCAAATACCTTTGACACCTCTGGTTCTATAACTGTATTCATTTTCATACCGAAGTTTATTTGTGAGTGCAAGAATCGAGTGTAGAAAAAGCAGTGTCAAACCACTTTAAACAGTTATGCCTTCTCACAAAGAACCTTGGGAGCTGTAGTTTGCTAAGGGTGGCTGAGAGTTGTTCGGAGACTCCTGTTCCCCTCACAGAGCTACACTTGGTTTAACAATCAATCCTTCTTCCAGGTAACTCTGGGAATTGTAGCTCTGTGAGGACAGACCTCTCCTAAAAAGGAACAGTTCCCAAAATTAATTGAGGGATGCCATGAATGTTTGAAGAGGTTTGACACTTTTAAATATATCATGCAAATGGGCCTCTGATTAATTTTGGATCAATTTAGTATGAAATTGTCCCTTTTTTCTAAATAACTGTGGTGTTTTCTGTTGGCCAGTCTTGGTGATTATCAATAGAACACACAGACAAATGATTTGAGCTCTTTATATTGGTACTGGGACAAGAAGCATTTATAATATTGAGTGTCCCTTGATTTGATAACAGAAATGAATCAAAAAAAGGCAAACATATAAATGTGTTTCCTTATCTAGCTGACATTCAAGTCAAATGTTCTCCATCCAGGTTACATTCAATTTAAAAACAATTTCACAGACCCTTGATTAATGACAGGGACCGGGAAACAGAGACAAGACTGTCTTGCCAACGTAAACATCAAAGGATGGGTCTGATGAACATTAGGTTTCTCCCTTATCAAACTTCCTAAGCATGAAAATCTAATTGTAGATATCCACAGGTGGTAGATGGAGACATCCATGCATTCTGGGACTATAGAAACTTTGGTAGACAATGTTGGGTAGTTCCATTCCACCTTTTGTTGCAGACATGGGAATGTAGTGTGTCACATGTCTGTTTACATTTCAGCACAGACTGCTGGGTCTTGTGAATGGAACTTCCACTCAGTGTATTGCTTTTGCTTTTGAGTCTCTCTCTGAGAAGACAGCAAGGAGAGACGACATGTTTCTTTGTTCTCATTTATGTAAAATAGTTTTAGTATGTATCCACAGCCTCCAGCCTCTTCTGTTGTGCAGTTTACTTTGCTACATATAGTGTGCTCAAGGCAGCAAGCTTGAGTCGCTGATTTATGTCGGAGCCAGAGTCAGAAGTAGACAGAGGTTGGAGCACTGCAGAATCT